CACAAGGACCAACCCTGGACCTGGAGCGAAGAGTGCGAGGAATCATTCATAACACTGAAGGAAAGGTTGTGTAGTGAGACCGTTATTTCCTACTATGATCCTTGCAAAGCGGTGACAGTGCAAGTGGACGCCAGCCCAATAGGACTTGGTGCAAAACTACTACAGGAGGATAAAGTTGTGAGTTATGCGAGCCGTGCCCTTACACCAGTAGAGTCCAGATACAGTCAAACAGAACGAGAAGCGTTAAGTGTTGTGTGGGCGTGTGAACATTATGATTTATATCTCAGAGGATTATCACACTTCACAATCATAACAGATCATAAACCCCTGGAAACAATTTGGAATAATCCTCAACCACCCTTGCGAATTGAAAGATGGGGACTACGCGTTCAGCCCTACTGTTGTACAATTAAATACCAACCCGGAAGTGAAAATATTGGCGACTACATTTCCAGGCATCCAGTCGGAGAATCAAAGAAATCACTGGAAGAAAACTGGGCTGAGAAATATGTCAACTTCATCGCAAAAGAATCGTTACCACAAGCTATTGACTTAGATGAAGTACGAGAAGCCACTCATAAATGCAATACCTTACAGAAAGCAATCTATTATACAAGATGTGGAAAGTGGTACGAGATGAAGACTGACGTATTGGAAGATGCTGACATGTGTGAATTGACAGCAATGAAGGCTGTTCGGGATGAACTTACTGTACATTCTGACAATATTTTACTTCGGAACCACCGCATTGTGCTACCCAAGAGTCTCAGACAGAGAGCTGTTGCTCTGGCGCATGAAGGTCATCAGGGTATAGCCAAAACAAAATCATTCTTACGTTCTAAAGTTTGGTTTCCTGATATGGACAGAGCTATCGAGGAAGCAGTTAGGAACTGTGCATCATGCCAAGCTCTAACTCCAGAAACCCGTTCTATGGAACCTTACAAGATGTCAGAACTACCTTACGCACCATGGGAAAACATCAGTATAGACTTTTGTGGACCTCTACCCTCGGGTGACTACCTCTTTGTCATGGTAGATGAATATTCCCGTTATCCTATTGTAGAGATAGTGAAGTCAGTATCTGCACGCTCAACGATTCCTGTACTTGACAAAGTAATCAGTACTTTTGGATTACCAAAAACTGTAAAGAGCGATAACGGCAGCCCTTTTCAGTCACATGAATTTAAGCAGTTTGCAGAGAACATGGGTTTTGTACATCGCCGAATTACTCCAAGGTGGCCCCGAGCTAACGCTCAAGCCGAGAGCTTTAATAAACCTCTTATGAAGGCGATACGCTCTGCTCACATCAATCAGCTGAATTGGAAACAGGAGATGTATAGATTTCTACGGCAGTATCGAGCAACACCACATACCTCGACAGGTCAAACCCCGTACAGATTACTTTTCAATCGAGAACCAAAAACTAAATTACCGCAAATTTCAGAGAAGACACAGGAACCAGTACTTGATGAGATGGTGAGGACACGGGACAGTGAAGCGAAACGCGTTATGAAGTATTATGGTGACCAGAGGAATCGTAGCAGAAATTCGGAAATAAAAGTGGGAGATTCTGTTTTGATGAAGAAGGAAATTCGTGGAGACAAGCTACAATCTACATACAAGCCACAGCCAAGAACAGTGTTAGAAAAGAAAGGATGTATGGTAACAACTGATAATGGTGTTACGCGTAACGTGTCGAAATTCAAGAAAATAAGTGACTCTGTTCGTAGCAGTCTTGAGGACAAAGCAATGGTCAGGATTCCAGAGGAGGATATTCGCTGGCCGAGTCCAGTTTCCATTTGTCCAGAGGTGTCCGAGTCAGATGAACAACCCAATTCTACAAGTGCGACTTTAAAGGAAAAAACTCCAGTTGTGCGCCGAAGTGGCCGTGAAAGGAAACAACCAATTCAACTGAAAGATTTTGTGTTGAAGTGAGTTAGGTATGACCTACAGTGATTGGGGCATAATAATACCCAGTAGGTTCATAGAGCTACATAAGTTCTCAATATTGTATCATGTTATATTTTGTTGATTGAATACATGTATGTCAAGTAACATTTTATGTTTTAATGGCAATCTGACTTTAAATGAAAATCTGGGTAATCTGTGTCTGCAAATCTTCTTCTTGGATCTCATGTGTATTCTTGATCTGTTCTACACATTGACAATTTATAATCTATATTTATTTGCTGGAAATTCTTTAAACTTTTATTTAATTTTGTTAATACCAATTTAAAAAAAAGACGAATGTAATGTTCTATGTAATCCGGAATTATGTTCATGATTGGTTCCAATGTATAGAATATATATAACGGAAGTAGTAATAAAATATGACAGAACCCGGCATGGTCACGGTGTGTTGTCGCATTATCCTTTAACATCATACACTGAGAACATAACACACATTATAATGCTTAATGCTAAAAATGAACTTATCAATGACAATTCTCTTTTTCGGGCTAGTACATTTTTGGCAGGGCTGACAACTTTCACTTAGAGTCAGCCCTGCATGTCTAGCTAATTTTACAGTGAGTTTCAAACACTGATTACACACCTTAGGGGTTAATATAAGGATTATAATTCCATATTTAGAATAAATCCAATTATGATTATATGTATTTCTTACAGGCTGTCCCCCTGAACAACAGATGATGTATGCAGGGAGTGTTCTCAGTTTAATTCAAACCTTGGGTCTCACAAAGGTAGGCAGATTCGGACAAGCTTAGTGTGCTTGTATCTAATGCATGGAAGCTTGTTTCGTGCTGAGTGGTATATCTCAAAGTATAGTTTTAAAAATAGCAGGGCTTTGATGATTGCTATACTTCAGAAAAATGAGAGAGTAAAAAATAGTAAAATTAAAAGTAAAAGCACGCGTAAAATATTATTTAAAAAGAATGATAAAGTTAATCTGACAGTAAAAAGTTTGACAATTGTCAGCACTTTTCCATTTTGTTCACATTTTCACACTGTCAAAGCTGTTTTGAACTTTTTCAGTAGACAGTGACATTATTTTATTCTGCAAAACTGAAATAAAATACATGACTGATACTTTCATAAAAGTTTTTATACGTGTATTACATATATATCATTTTATTGACAGACATTTGATGTAAGGAATCCAGAGGAATTCTCAGAAGAATGGCTACTGGAACAGTTAGGCAAGGTGTAACGGATCTCAAAGAGACGTAATAATGGACCAACAACTCAGCAATGTGGCTCACTCGTTCATCCAACATGAACCGATATTATACAAAAAGAACCTCTTAAAGTTATAAACCCTTAAGAAAGTAGAGCCAATAACTCGCAAATCAATCAAGGCAACTTACAAAGGGACCATATTTTTCTTTGTTCCCAACTGATATTTTATTCTTAGTCCTTTTAAAGCTTTGTTTTGTTTCATATCTAACAAATGCTTTTAGATATACATGTATCTATCAATATTTGTATAAAAATTTGTTGAAACTTAGAGTTTGTATTGTTTATATTGCTCACTTTTAATGTTGCCAGACTTAAAGAAATCTTATACAGTGGAGCCTCATTTATCCGGACACTTTGGTTCCCAATTGGTTCACTTTGGTTCCCAATCAATTTTTCCGGATATGTGCATCTTCGCTAGCCAAGGGTTTCTGATACGCTTCTCTCCTCATAAACCCTTGGCATACGGTGAAATCAAAAGCCGGGATTGTTTTCCGTCACGTGATCTCGAATCTATCAGCTACGCACAGATTGCATCATCGCCAGAAATAAAGACACATGTTTAAAAAAAATTAAAGTTTTTTTCAAGAATAATTAAGAAGCAATAATTGAGTTATGATGTTTATTTATTATTTATAGAACAAATCTGAAGCTTCAATATAGATTCTTAATCACATATTTAGCAATTTAATCACATATTTAGAAGATATTGGATGACACCATGGCTATTCATAGAATTGAATGTTATCTTACGGATCGTTGTTTTCTTGCGTTTTTCATTTCCGAGATTAAAGAGTGAAGATGTATCCCGAACGCAAATATCGTCATTTACAAAAAACAATTGCTGATTGGTCGACCTGGGTGTACTGAAATCCAATCAGAACTCTGGTAAAAAATCCTGATCTCTATGAACACCGTAGGCCAAGGGTTTATGAGGAGAGTAGCGTATCAGAAACCCTTGGCTAGCGAAGATGGGATATGTGAAGCGTCCGGATATCTGAATTACCTGTTAAATAAGACAAAATAACTTTTAAAAATTCTTTTCTGATGAAAAATCGTCCGGAAACTGAAGCATCCGGATATCTGAAGGTCCACTGTATATTCTTTAAACATGGTAATGTGCGTAAATCCTTTGATCTGCATTTTTACATTCAGTGATAATTTTCCTGTGCACATCTTTAGTCGGACATTCCATGTGGCACTGTTTGCAAAATATGGAGTAAAAAACAGAAATCAAGCTCAAAGTATACTGAAACAATACAATATGGGAACAGAGCAAACACAGACCTCTGAATACTGTCAGAGTTGGGATCAGGTGCCATGAATGATATGGCATTCCTTGTCAACTGGACACATGATACAATGTATGTATGTACAAGTAAGAAGGAATTTAGATTTTGAAGAGAACTGGTTTAGCCATTTAGTTGCTAGAATTCAAAACTCAAAAGTCTTTGCCTCACTTTGCATCTGCTCTCTACCAAGTAAATGTATGCAAAGTAAAAATATGTACATGTAAAAAAAAAATTAAAAATATGATACAGGTGTGCATTTTTGCCAAGAATTCTGATGTTGACCTTAATCCTAGTCATTTTTCACTTTAAGTCAATGATTTTAAATCTTTTAGAAGCAAATGATAGTCGGAACAGTCATATGGTACACCTTTTTCCATAACAACGGCAACACAGTTAAGGCGAAATGGGAACACACCCCAATGAGCTTCCCCTGACCATATTTGTGCAGGAATATTGCACTGTGTGACTTAAACAGATACAGGAACTAAATTAGTACATTATTTATTCTTTATATTTACAATCTCAATAGAAATAGTTGTACATAATGTAACAATTAACACAAGTCATAGTGCAGACCATGCAACAGATGACTTATCACAGAAATAATGTCCATTTACTCTGTAACACAATAATGGCTTCACAGGATGCAGGTACTCAATCTACCTGGGGGTTGTTCTGGAAAAGGAATTCTGCCTATAAAAGGAAAAAAAAGCGTGTGTGTGACAATAGATTATTCAATTAATTTCTGGTTCTGCATTAAAAGTAATTGAATTTCTCCATGCTAAATATACATAAATATTGAGTCAGAAATCCTTTAAAATAAGTACTAATAATTGTGTTCATGATGTACTCTATGACCACAGGAGTTTTCATACCTTTCAATTAAATGAAGTTTTCAGTAAATAAGGAAATACAGTAATATTATTATAGTTTTACATGTTTTTTTTTAAATTACTCAAAAAATTGTGGTACAATTGATAGGTTTGTCAACTCCTGTGGTATAACTGTGAATGTCGGAACAACTTACAATGTAATCAATGGGGTCATCAGGTCGAGTTTTGCAGCAGTCAATAAGGCCTTGGGTGAGAGTTGGCATCACGTGCTTCATTAGGTAGTTCCTCAGTGGAATGGACTGGGCCTCCAACAGCTCAAATTCTTCTCTCTTTACTTCATTCAAACGCTGTGTCTGTTAAAATCATCAAAAATATTGAAATGAATTAAAAAGATAGGCTTCTCTTTGAGAGCATTAAATACAATTTTCATAGGCCTGGTACTAGCCAACAGTAATCCACCTAATTAAAGCTTCTACTAGACTGAGATTTCTCTGTGTTGACCTCTGAACTTACCCACTCCTCCTGCCTCTGTTTACGGAGGGCTGCCTCCTCAACTTCCTGTCTCTCCTTCTCCTGCTTCTCCTCCATCTCCTTCCTCAGGCGAGCCTCCTCCTCTTGTCTCCTCATCTCCTCAAGCTCCTCAGGGGTGGGACCTTAAAATAATACCATGTGTCATTAATCAACATCTTACCATTAAGGGCTTTCCTACAAAAGAAAATATATATTCCTGTAACCTACTTAATAAAAACAATAATATATGAATGTGAATCATACCATAGTTTCTAGGTTCTCCAATGGTTTTCTTGATTTTTTCCACTGTGTCTCTCATCATGGGAGAATCATCCTTTGTGACATCTATTTTTTCAGGGTGGAATTCCTTCTCATCAAAGTAGTTGAGGACAGTCTCCTCATCATTATTTAGGCTGCGGTACAACTCAAGTCTCTTCATCAGCCCCTCCTCATCATTGTGGGTTCCGTGGACCACGCTCTCTGGTAGGTTCATCACACGCTGTCGTAGGAATTCGTCATTGGCCTCCAAACAAAATACATAATCCGGCATGATTGTTTTATCAAACTTTGTAGCAGCTGATTCCTCCGCATCATCCTCTTCTTCAGCTGTTGACACAGAAAACGTACGTCAAAAATTTTAGTAAAATATTATGGAGGAAAAATCTGAAGCTATTACATACAGGCTCATACAGTGTTTTTTTCCACATTTCTAGGCGATTGACAATTATATACACTGTATGTTATACTGCTACTTACTGGCAAACAGATCATTGGCTTGTTCTATGGTTTTGGGGAATCCATCCAGAATGAAACCCTGGTTTTGACAGGGCTTTGAATGCAGTTTGTCTCTGAAGAACTTAATAACATGGGAATCTTCAATTTTTCCTGTTTCCTGGTTTTTGGATTGTTCTATTTCATTAAGGAGCTCCTGGGCGTCCTGTGCCTTCCCATCATCATCTTCCTGGTCCTCAGAATCCGCTCGCCGGGACAGTGTTTGCTGTCAAATAATATACATTATAAAATTTGTTGACTTTAAGTGAATTTATAAAAGCAATGATAAATTGCATAAAAAAGATTTGGGTATTAGTTTGTCTACAATACAATAGATTTATTTAGATTTTGTTACTTTAGGCATGAAAATTTTCCATTTTAATTTATATATGTACTCAGTAATCATATCCTTACCAAGATAATGTTGGGGTTTATTATAAAGAACAAACATACCAGCTCCTCCATGGCTTCATCAATGACATCCTTGATTTTGATGTGGTGGAGTTTATAGAATTCACATAGTTTCTGGCAAACAGTTGTTTTACCAGAGGCAGGTGGTCCCAGAATGCAAATTCTAAGAGGCTGTTAATAAAAAAATTACATTAGTACATGTATATACATGACTGACTTTAACCTAAGTATAATGAACACTGAATTAGAAGAAAGATGATGTAAAATGGCTTTAGTACCTGGAGCTTCCTTGAGTCTTTGTACTCTTTGATGATCTGGTCAATATTCTCCACCATTCCAGCCTCTGACACCCACATAATCCTCATGTTCTCCTTCACAAACACAGCATCCATCCTCAGGTTCACCAGAAGCTGGTCAAAATCTGACTGCTGCAAACATACAACAATACCACAAAATTATGTCTCCGTACAATCATGCAAACAATGTGTTAAAGGGATGCAACTCTTAAAAATTTACAGAGACGATACATTTGAAGACTTACCTCAATATCTTTGCTGAGAAGAGCCTCCTCTTTTGTGATGTTTTTCACTTTACCTTTCCCTAGTTTTTCACTGATGGCCTAAAAAGGAGAAAATTCATACATCAATCTGGGAAGATTCTCATAATATATCTTAAAATTTAGCTAATAGAAAATCAATTTTAAAAAATATGAATGACAAACCTTGACTATTTCTTCCAGAGTGGTTTGAGTGTCATCCTTCGCTATCAGGTAACGCACTTTTGGTCGACTGTCCGCAATATTCTGTATGACACTATTTCAAAAGAATAAATTTCTTGTAATGCAGGCTTTCGGAAAACATATAATTCTAATTGTGGGTAATTTATGACATTTCTT